AAATATACCTATAGTTGGTTAATGTCACTTATTTTTGTTATCTCTACACCCCACACACAGAACTGCTGCTGTCCTTTTCTGCATAATTTAAGTTGACAGGGTTTTGATTCCCCAGCACTCATTAAAAATGGGAAAAGGCAGGTGGAAAAGAAGTACACAGGCTTGTTAAAAGAATGGGGTTTGCCCACTCGCCTTCCTCCAGCTCTTAGCACTGTCTAAAACAGGAATTCTGAGACTGTTGCTTCTACTTTAAATGAAGTACAGCTTGATGTGACATGCAAACCCGGCTAGGTTTCTGGTTAATTTTAACCATAGTTTGTTGAAACAAATCGTCGACTTCAAGGCATTTATAAAGCTGGCATCTTTCAACAAACTGTAGTTAAGATAAATGACAGGCTACAGATGGCACCCTCACTGTGGTTACATAGATGTAGAAGATTCTGAAATTGAGGCTGTGCCAGCAGAGGAAGAAGAGGAGAAGTCATCCATGAGACCACAAGGCTCATTGCAGCTGGTCTTGTGGTGCTAAGTCAGTGTGACGTAATCCTTGGAATATTAGACTGGGAATCAGGACGCCTGTTTTATTTTCCCCACTGCATGACTGTGTGCCGGTCATTAACTCTCAGCCTAACCTACTCTGTAGGGCTGGTGTAAAGACAAAATGGAGAGAAGGACCATGTGAGTCACACTGGGTTGATTGCAAAAGAAAGTAAGACTGAGCTTAGACCCTTTTCCTTCCCCTCTCTTTTGATGCATCTGCAAGGAGAAACTTTTGCTTCCAATTTCAACTAACTGTGAGATGATGGTGATGCTGCTATAGATAATCTTTAACCTGCCTTTCAGAGTGCTTTCTCTTACAGGACAGCTTGTAATATTATAAAACACAAACATACTGTTAAGCACACACTTGCACACCCCACCCAGATGGGAATATATGGGTCTTCAGGAATTTTTTTTTAAGTGATAAGGTCATGCTTATTTCCTTGACGAACGAGTTCAAAATGGGGCTACCACTGAGAAACTACATCTCTGATACCCTTCGTGTTGATAGCTGTTGTTGCTGGGCCAGCAACTAGGGGCTAGGGCCCCGGACATTGATCTTAATGCATAGACAGGCTCATATAGGTATGGATGGTCCTTCACATAACTTAATATCAAACCGTCTAAGACTTTGAAAGCCAAAAACAAGCACCTTGAATTGGTCCCTGAAATAGACAGGCATTGTGAATGATACAGAAGTAATATGATGCAAATGCCTGTCTCCCTCAGAAGTCTAGCTGTTGCATTCTGTACCAGTTGCAGTTTTTAACTCATCTTTAAGGGCTACCTTAAAGCCCTGCAATGTGCCTTAAAGTACATTGCAGTAATTTAACCTGGATGAAACAAGGCATGTCAATGAAGTAGGTCAGTTCTCTGGATGGGGCTTCAGCTTCCAGACTAGCTAAACTGGTAAAAACCACTCGGGAGCCAGTGTCACCCATACCACCATAGACAGTACTGAATCCTGGTGCACTCCCAGACTGTGTACTGGATTTTCTGGGGGGTATGACTTCATCCAGAGTCACATCTAGCTCTCTGGCCAGATGATTGTAATTCCCAACCCACAATATTTCTTTCTTTTCAGATTAAGTTTCATCTGTCTGAATAACCATGCACAGATGGTATTTTGTCTAGAGATGGTACCATGTCCAGAGTTTCTACTGCCTTACTGGGATTAGATAGTGGAAAGGAGCGGTAGAGCTGCATGACATATATAAGCTGATGACACCTCACCCCATACCTCTGGGTGACTTCTCCCATCAGTTTCATGTAGATGTTGAAAAGTGTGGGGGACAGCACAGAATCTTGAAGCAGAATTCTGTAAATGTCAGTGGCAAAGAATTGTTCTTGCTTGCACATCATGGCTAATACTTTAGCCCTGCACCTTTCTCACTCTCCCTCTGTTGTTAAATATTCCTACCAGACCATGTTCACTGTGGCCTAGAGCAATGTGAGCACTGTTCTGTACAATCGGGCATGGTGATTCATGTGCGTCCTGCTTCCTTAATTATCAAAAAACAGCTTCTGTTCTCTTGACAGAGTAGTATGCATAAACAAATAACCACTTTGAATTGCTAGATTTATTTTGCTTATTATCATCATGCATCTGCAAAGAAGTATGAAGTATCCTGTCCTGTGGTTTTTAAGCTGTGTTCCAAGATGCCTTGAAAGTTTATTGGGATTCCTTATTAAGAAGATAGTTAATGACAAGCACGTTTCTCTGAAGAACTTGCTGTCCACTGCTGATTTTTCCTGTTCTGCATTATCATAACAGAGTTGAGTGAGTTCTAGGGCACTTCCTTAGTAATGGCTAGTATGGGCCCCAGAAGGATGCAGGTGGACAATTTTGATGTGAAAAGTATCCCTTAGAAGTAGAATGCTTGAAAGCCACAATTCTATCTTAACATGTTTAGTTAATTTGGCATTCTTGTCCTAGTTAATCAGGGAACTTTAAGAACATGGAATGGAGTGACAATGATCTGATACTTGCATACCTCTAAATTTAATCTGGGCTTCCTGTAATGAAATAGGGCTTGGGGACTTAACTGTATTGTTCATTATTACACTACTCCATTTAGATTTTGGACAGCAAGTTGAGAAACAGCATAAATGGAAGGTAAATGGGATTGCCATCAGGGAGTTGTTTTTATGCAGACTGGGCAAGGTGTGATAAGCTCCAAGAATTCTACGCAGCACCAAATTTGAAACCAGACTCTCATGTGCAACTATAATTCATTTCAGTAAGTCAAGCACAATTCTGTTCTGTTTTGTGAGTGATAGTGAAGCATGTACGCATGCTTTTTTAGTGACACATAGTGTATTTACATCATATCTTACAAACTGGCAGGTTTGCTGTTGTGAGATAAACAAGTGGACCTGCAGCAAAAGGTTGCTTTTTTCAGTGCTCCAGCCAGTCATGCCTTCTTTCAGGATACCCTATTCCCTGCCCCTCCCTGTTCCAGCAGAAACTCCACATTTTGTAACCTTTGAATAGGGGCTGCTCTAGGGTAGTCTTGCCCTCCTAAACATTTTCCCAGTTTCTTTCTACTTCTGCAAAACTAGGGGTTCTCACAAGCATGTTGATGCCTCCCTCTTGTTTCTCACTAGCCCTGCTTGGGCTTTATAGCTGCTGTAAGTCAACATCTGAGTTTACTGCTAATATACATGCAAACAAGAGAATGAAGGTGTGTGGAATACTCCTATTTAGGGACCCATCCATGTTCTCTTCTAGGAGGCTTCATACTGTTCCTGTTCCCCAGTATTTTCCACCCCAGCAGTTGGAAATACTTTGCCACCGAGCATACTATGTTTTCAGTGAATAGTTTGGAATTTTTCCCTCTTTAAACACTTCTGTAAATGTTCCGGTTCCCACCATCCTGCGAATAGCTTTCTGATGCAAGTGGATGGTGCCATTTTGGCTCCTTAAACAATGGCATTCACACTGAAACATTGGAGACAGAGGAAATCATGATGACAGAAACCAAACTCTCATTTTCTCTTTGTAGGAAATGTGTCTTCAAACAATACAATTACAATATAAAATTGGGTGCACAGTTACTGATTTGTGGCAACTTCTGCTGTTCATTAAACAGTTGCCTTTGATTGCTTCAGTTCAACATTTAAATGAGCTTGAATGCATCAAAATGTGAGTTTGCTGTAGCTGAGCTCACTCACAGTTATGAGTCATCAGTGGGGCTTCAGAATAACTCTACACTGGACTGGACTGGACTGATAGTATTTTTGAAAAGGGAGTAAATAAATACCTGCCAAGAGTTTTCTCAGTTATTTTAACTGGTATTTGTTCAAGAAGTTATTTAGATGTCATATAAGGCAAATTCTGGTGGGATCTCATGCCTCCTTTGGTGTGAGAGAATGAAGCCCAGTGTGCCAGACAAGAGTGCTAAAGGAGCTGCAAATACTATGTTAAATAACAAATGGCATTAGTACACTTCTCTAATGTTGCACCTTCTCACCAGTTAAAACTACTATATCTATCATTCCCTAAAGTGGTGCCATTTTTGCATATTGCTCCCTTCACTACTCAGGAAAGTATAGTAGTGATCATTTCCTTGCCTATTCCTGCCCGGAAGATATATCCACCCCCCACCCCCACACTCCTGTATAGCTGTTCTTCAAGACATTTTTGCTTTAGAGAACCCTTTCCGGAGTGACTTTCCTCCTGCATCTTTGTGAGTTGCAGATTATTCTGGGAAGTGTTTGAGGTCATGCACTCATTTAGAGTGCTGGCAGACCTGCTGGGTGTTGCTCTTGTGAAAAGAGAACAGAATGTGCACCCCAGCGTAGCTCCAGTCTGGTGTCCTCCAGCTGTATTGGACTGTTGGAGTTAAAATCTTACATCAAGAGGGGGCAAAGGGTAGATCAGGCACTCTTGGTAGATCTCTGGGTGATTTGAAATAGTTTTTGACCTCCAGTTGTCCATCAGTGGCAACAATTAAAAAAGCCTTTGCTGCCTCTAAATTAAGTTATGGTAGAAGAAGACCTGGCTGAAAATCAGGAGTGAAAAGGACTCGAGCTTGGTTCTGGTACTGATATCGGATTCTTTGACTGAGCACTCTGTTCCTTAGCTTTGAATGTTTGTGTCCCCACATGGCTCTTTTTGGTAGATCTTAGTGCTTAGACAAGACATGCTGCAAACCCGAGGTCTCTCCAGCCCCTTCTGGGAGCATATCAGTTTCCTGAAGCTGTGCATCTTACCGGGAAATTTGTAGCATGAGAGAGCTGTTCCTCTGAGAGGTTTTTCCACCATTCCTGATCACCTTATCAAGGAGCCTTATGATAAGCTCCTCGCAGCATTTCCTGGAATGCTGCTGGGTCTGCATAAACTCACATAAAAACAATTATCCAAGGTTGTAAGATAGCCACATGTGTTCACTAATGTAATGTGCAAACAGTGATCGTTCTGCCTTCAAATGGGGTTCTTTTTTTATGTCCTATTTTAGGAAATGGTTTTGTGAACTCACGAGCTTCACCGGGTTTGTTGAGCAGTACTGGTGGTGGGAATGGTCTAAGCAAAGTGATAACTACAAAATCTCCTCCTCCCCCTGGAGGGGGCAGCCTTGGAATGAACAATCGCAAGCCAGATCTCCGTGTTGTCATCCCTCCGTCTAGCAAAGGCATGATGCCTCCATTGGTAAGTTTAATTTCTTGATTTATTCGTGCATGCTTGATGTCCTTGAAGAGGTTTACAAATGCTACTCTCAGCAAAACTTGGCCATTTTGTATGGGCAAGGAATTGTGTTACCTCAAACATGTTTAAATGCCTGTATAGAAGGTTACATTCATATGGATGACCAAACTGGGCATTTTGGAAACAGTCCTCAGGTGGTCCTTGGTCTTCTCTGCCCTAATTATATGTATATTGTGATAACTGAACTGGGCATTATCCTTTCTCTAGACATTGAACCACAGTGCAGCTTTGCCAAATGTACAGATTTATGTGCTTTGTATGCACATTCCCCATGGTTCTTCTCTTGATGCGGGTCACATTCATTGAAGCCCTGGAGGTAAATTCCAGGATTTTCTGCTTTCCAGACAGGACTGTCTTCTGTAGCAGCTATCCAGTCTGAGAAGTGATGCCCTGTTTTTGTCCATGTAACATTAATCAGAGTATCTTTTCTTTTCAACTGTACATTTGAGTTTTACCAGAAAAGCGAACTCCATGTGATTCTCTCAAAGTTGTCTGTGCCCATATTCTATCTTCTCTAAATTTCTACTCAGTGGAAACAAAATGAGAGTCAATAGCATACCAATCCTATGCCTGTTCAAACACACATGCACGTGAATTTCTACAAGATGGCTCCTTCTAGTTTAGGCCTATAAGTTGTAGGATTTCTTTCTGTCTAAAGTAGGCTTAGGATAGCACCCTTGGGCTTCTTAAAGTAACGATGGCCTTCTGTCTTTAATTATCTTAATTGTATATATTTTTTATCGAGCTCTACATGTATAAAAAGGCACCTAAAATAACAGAAGAGCCCTGCTGGCTCAAATCAGAACTCTCTTGTCCAGTATCCTGCTTCCCACAGTGGCCAGCCAGATGTTTCTGGGAAGCCCACAAGCAGGCATGAAGGCAACATATCTTGCCCCTCACCCCAGAAACTTTTCTTGCCCTTGAACCTGGTGATTTCTTGGTTAATAGCTGCCAGTTAGAGCTGTTCATCGTGAATTTGTCTGATCAGACTTTTAATACCAGGCAAGTCAGTGACTATCACCTCATCTTCCTGTTGTGAATTTGTTAGATATGCCTGGTGTGTTCTAGGATAGATAGGGTTACAGGGCATCTTCTACCTCAAGATCTGGATTCCATTCCAAGCAGCTTTCAGGCTTTGCTCTGATGTTGGGCAGGGGGGAAAGCAAAAGCGTTTGGGCCAGTAATGGACAAAACATCAGCTTATTGTAGTCTTGGGAGAGGAATTCCAATGATTTCAAAGAAAGGAGAACCTACACAAAAGCTAGGAAGCCACCAGACAATCCCTAGTTGGGGGAAAGGGGGTGTGGCCCTTCAGGGGCCCTGGAGCAACTGATTTGGTCCTGAGGTTCAACCCACTCTGTAGTGGGGTTATATCTACATATATCTAGGGTGATAGACAATCTGCACTATAGCTCATGAGTGCCACAAGGTTTCATCCTGTTCCCATGTTTTTTAACATCTACATGAAACCACTGAGGAAAGTCATCAGGAGGTTTGACTGACATGTCGTCAGAATGTAGATGATGCCTCTGCCTCTTGTTTCAATTGATACATCCCAATTGTTGAATATATGAACCAATATCTGAAGCCCCTTTGAGTGGATGCGGGGTAAAAAAAACTGAAGCCAGCAAGTCCAGAGGGAGATTTGCAACTGGTTTTAAGTGGAGTTGTAAAAGGCCAATAGCATATTACGCGTATGAGAACCTTCCTGAACTCTGCTGGCTGGGGAAGTCAGCTGAGACTGTCTTAGGCTGGTATGTCAGCTGCAGCCCTTTCTGGAGAGGATGGACTATGCCCCAATAATCTATGCACTAGTGATGTCCAGGCTGGACCTACTACAGTACACTGTGGATATTATACACATAGGGCTGCCTCTGAAGTTGGTCCAGAAACTTCTGCTGGTGCCTGATTTGGCTGTCCAAATGGTGGGGTGAGATACTGTGCCAGCTGCACTGTGTACTGGTGTGTTTCCAAACTCATTTTAAAGCACTGGTTTTGACTACTATAGTCTTAAATGGTTTGGGACCAAATTACATAAAGGATCATCTTCTCCCATACCCTGCCCACACCAGTCTTACCCATTGGCAAGAGAGGCCTTTTGCATTTGCCCATCTGTAAGGGCTGTTAAGTAGGCAACTACATGAGAGGGTGCCTGTTCTATAGTGGCACCACACCTATGCAGGATCTCCCTGGCCCCATCACTGCAGGCTTTTAAGAAGGCCCTAAAACTTTATTGTTTTACTTGGCCTTACAGTTGTCTGCTGTGAAGTCTATGCTGGTGTCCACTTTTTTTAAAGAATATTTGCTTCAGTAATTGTGTTTACTGTGTTTTCATTACACTATATTTTTAAAATTAATATATGGTGCCTGAGGGGATGCCAAGAAATATTTTAAATAAATTGATACCATGCTGACTGGATCTGATAGGAACTGTAGCCCAAAATAATAGGAAGTAGACCAGAACTCCTATCTTCTTGTAGACTTGTTATAGGTAGATGTCTGTCAGGCTTGCTAGAATAGCTTAGGTAATATTACACTTATTGAATGGTACAGCAGTGCTTACTGAATCACACTGAGAATTCAGAATACTAGGGAGGCTAAATTTAACTAATTCAAGCACCGACATAACTCTTTCATTCTTGAATACTGTCCTATTCTTAGTAACTGTATTATTGCTCTTATTTGCCGAGTACAGTCGGAGGAGGATGAATTGGAGTTGGTGAGTCTGGGTTCCTACTTGGTATGAGACATCAAGATCCAGAAAGCTTTCATGTTAACTGTGTGGTGTCACATAAACCAATGTTCCCTTTGTTGCAGAGAAAAACATTTTTATTGAGTACAGGTTTCCATATTGGGCCAATGAAATATGGAAAACAGATAAATCTTAACCGAAATTATTTTAAATGGACTGTGTTGAAAGGGGAACATTGGGACAGAACCTCTAACAGCAACTGTCCATGTAAATCAGAGAGCCTCGAATTTTTTAAAGCAGTGTCTTGCTTATATTGTGTTCAGGCATTGTAGCTTTTTAAAACAGGGACCTCACTTGACAGTTCCGCAAATTGTAATACAGATCCTGTGCTGCTGCCTTCCTTCTTGGAGATTACATCATTCCTGGTGAGGTCACCATTCTAGAGACGAAGTTAATTTCATGCTATACAAGAGAAGCAAACCACAAGGGGGTTCTCCGTTTACTAAAAGAAACACACAATTTGAATCTGCCCCCCCCCCCCACACACACACACTGGAAAAAATGTTTTGGCCTTTTAAAGGGACCTTTTTATTAAACATAATGTTTAGTCTCTGGGAACTTAAGCACTCTCTCTTTATTGATCATAATTTGGCTTTCTTGCATTGCTGTCTAAATGCTGTGCAGTTCTTTCAGAAAGAACCGCATCAAAACAAACTTGTATAAAAGAGAACTGATATTAAAAATATGTTCATGCTTTTTATCAATTTAAACCTAGACTTGTTGCTGATATGGGGCTTTCATTGCATGAAAGCATGTGATTGATGTGTGTTGCTGTGAATGCATCATATGTACTGTGTGTGTGTTACATTGAAAACGTAGTATCTCTTTCAAGCACACAATGGAGGCTATTAACAAGCCAAGGCTTCTGTGAACATATTTCATAGATTCATAGAATAGTAGGGGCCAAGAAGGCCATTGGGTCCAACCCACTGCTGACTGCTCGTGCAGGGCTCCAAGTCAAACAATCCCACTCAGATGACTTTGAAATGCTACTGATAATTCTGCAAACATATTTGAAATGCAAGTGATTCTCAAAAGCCCTGTAATTTGCTGCACCTGTCTGCAACTTCTGAGGGGAAAATGTCTTTTCCCTAGGAAAATGTAGGGTGACAAAGGGCACTTAGCAGAATTTTGCCACTTATTTCTATTCTTTGAGTCAAGCTCATATAGTTTGCCTTGCAGGTGCAATCTTGTAGTTAGGCTGCTGATCTCTCCCGTTAGTCGCTGTCTGTCTCTCAGCATAAATTTCTTTAGGACCTGTATGCATTATCTTCTGAATGATTGTCCATCAGGCTCAAGAGAGAAGCTATGCTACTGTTTTTCACGGATACTCTTCTAACATCTTTCTAAACTCTTTCATTCTTTCTTGTTCCTGCAGTTCAACCAAATGCTCTCCCACTCTTCCAGGTTATCTTTTCCTTGATTCTTCACATGCTTCAAAATGAAGTGCCGGGCTGCAGTTGCCAGCCATTTTTATTTTCTAAAAATGTCTCTAGGACCCAAAGGCATTCTTGAAAATAAAGAAAATGCTAGAGTTTGGCACAGCATTTTGCAGCCTGCCCACTTCTTGGGTATTTTCAAGAAGAAAAAGAAAAAAGATAAGGAAGTGTGGGGCATCTGAGATGGTTCCCTGAGAGTTGTTTTTCATCTTCACAGCTATCCCATGAGGTAGATGAAAGCTATTTCCACTTCATAGGCAGGGAACTGAAGGTGTCAAGAATTGGTCAGCCTTTGCGAAAGATGTCATTTGAACCCAAGTCCCAGTGGCTTATGTGAACAGGTTACTTGTTTTGCCATATTTCAGACAAAATCAGCTGAAAACTCCAGCTTAGGTACTTTTCTGTGACGTGGTGCACCACCAGAAAGTATCTACATAAATATAATAATTATCTACATAAATAATGAAGATATTCCTCATAATAATTTAAAATATTGCTGGTATGATGATTATCTTTTTGCTAATGCCTCATGTTTAACATAATGCCTTTGTTGGAGTATTTTTCTTTCCTTGTTAAGGAAGTCAAGCAGATTGTTTACGGGGTCCAACTCCACTAGCTGAAGGCTGCCTTGCACTTTACTATGCTTGAGTACATCACGCATGAGCTTTGGCTTGTATCTGCAGTGCACCCCACTGCATACAAGGGAGGTGCATGTGTGTGGCTTTCATTGGCTCTATGCAGTCTGTGTACATTGTACTTACACCCTGCCTTTTCATTAAAGAAATGCTCAAAGCACCATCAGCAGCCTGCCTGCACAGCGAAATGCATGTGTCTACTTCACATGGGACGGGGAAAAGGTCATGTGTGCTAAATCTTTCAGTATGTCAAAAGTGTGAGGTCAAGTGACTCTGGATTTCCATGTACAAGTACAAAGACTGGTTTGTAGTGTGCATGCTGCAGGAAGGGATTGCCCTCTGGTGGTTTGACTGCTGTCTGGAGAGAAGTATGCAGCTCACTGCAGAGAAATAAAAACGCCTCTTCCCAGCAACTGGGTCATGTGTTCGTCACTGGAACTGAAGCCAGGCAGGGCTGGGTCAAGCTATACCATTGCTCTGGGCAAATGTTTAAGTATGCTTCTCCGTATTGCATCTTTTTTGATGCATGGGTTGAGCTTCTTTTCCCTCAAGGATTCTTCCTGATTTTAGCTCTTTTCTCCTCCTCTGTAGATGGATTGAACAAGTGGAAGGGGAATTTGGGAAATAATAAGGGGTAGTGGGGAACAGCATCCCTGTCCCAGATTCTGATGGTAGAGGCAGTGATATTTTTTTCCTTTCAGTTTCAGAGAAGCACAGCCTCTCTTGAATTCTGGTCTCCAAGGCAGCTTTTTGACTCACCTGTTGGGTTCAGCTGGTCCCACAGCTAACTTTTCTGTTAGGACTTGACATTGATGGTTGGACAGCTGCTTCTTTATCCTAATACTGTCTCTAAAATTCCTCTATTGTCTTGCCAAAAAGACTTAGCAGACCTGAATTGATCTTGAGTCATCTCTAGAAGCTTCTCGTTTGGTACAACGTTACTAGAGAGACACGTTACACAGAGAGACATGTGCTTTGTGTGTATCACTGTTTTTGCTGTGATGGGATTGTGGCACAAGGTATGTGTCATTCGTTTCATACTGTGCTGTTCATGAGCTTCGTCTCTCAAGCTTTGTGTGGCCCCAGAGCACCGGTCTGCAAGAATAATTGGGTGGGGCTGGAATTCCTGGCTTAACTGAATCCTGCACTCCATTCCTTGAATGACAGTGGCTCACAGATACTTTAATTTTTCCTCCTTTGAGTATGCATGTCTCTTCTTAATAAATCTTCTACAAAATGTATTGGTAAGGAGAAAATTCCTCAAATTCTGTATCTAGTTCAGTGTGCATTTGACTTAATGCCCCTCCTGCACTTCATTACATCTATTTTTTGTTAACCATTTGCAGAACACACAGAGGTTAAGCAGTTCTCAGTCTACACAACCTCTTGCAACACCAGTTGTATCTGTGACAACTCCAAGTTTGCCTCCGCAGGGACTGGTATATTCTGCTATGCCCACAGCTTACAACACTGGTAAGTGTCACATCTGTTAGCATTTCCTTTTCCCCTGTTCTGTTCAGTAAAGAAAAGCCATTGAGAAGTGACTATACCTTTGGTGCAGCTGCGCATTATGTGCTGCACTCAGGAAGCTGTTAATGTATGGAAGCATTCAGTAATATTTCTTTCTTTCTGAAATTTGTATCCTGTCCTTCAGTGGCCATTCAGCATTCCTAGGGTGACTTACACAAGGGTAAAAACAGAAATACTACAAAACAAATAAAACCGCAAAACACAGGATAAAAATGAAAAGAAGGGAAGTTCACAGCAGTTTAAAAGAATTGAGATTTTAAATGTAGCTGTTTAAAAGCCTAAGAAAATCATAAGGTCTTTGCCTGGCACCAAATTGCTATCAAAATTGGCATAGGTGAGCCTCCCTGGGGAGGGTATTCTGCAGATAGGCATATGCCCCCATGACTGAAGTGACACAATCCGGAATTCTGTTGTCTTGTTTTGCATAATGTGTGGAGCGGCTCTTTGTCCCTACTGGCAAGCTTAACTTGCTAGCTTTTTCTTTTTCTTAAAAAAAATCTGAAATTTGTTAGTCAATTAAATACTGACAATTTGTCTATGTCCCTGAAGTTCATAAATCTGCAGTCTTTTTCTGTACCAGACTTTCATAGCTACATTGTGAAAAATCTCACCTGATCAAAAGATGCACAAGAGATGTTGTGCATGTGAGTGCTTGCACCAACCAGGTATTTCAGAGGGCTCCAGAAAATAAAATAAAATGTACATATTCACAAATAGCAGCCTACTACCCCTGTTTGGAGTGACATTGTCCCTACACCTCAGTCAACTCCATCTTTGCTCTGGTAAATCTGCCATCTGTACCAGGAACAGGTAGCCTGATGCCCTCAGTAGGTCAGGGGTGAGCTACTGGTGGCCCTCCACGTGTTTGCCCTGTAATTTCCATCATCCTTCGCCATTGCCTGTGCTGGCTCGTGCTGATGGGTCATAGACTAAAATGTGCTGGGTGCACAAGTTGGCCACTCCTGATTTAGATACTTTAGCTATAAATCCCATGGTCACTTACCTTTGGACATGTTGGCTGTGGCTGATGGGAGTTACTGTCCAAAACATTTGCGGCATATCAGGTTGTCTCTGCCCTCTCTCTATGGGAACAGCCCTGGGCTTCATTGGCATTGTGCTGGCACAGTACTTGGTATGTCTTACTCTAAGCGCCTGCTCGCTGACATAGAACATTTGTAGGGATGAGCTGCCAAACACATGTATGATCAGGCATCTCAGAGGTTTAAACTAGTACATCTAAAAGACTACTGAATCCCTGAAAGCTCCTCTTAAGTGCAGCTGAAAGGCTTTTACATTCCTTAACAACTTTTAGAGCTGCATGCATCTTTTAATGATATTCAAAACTACATTTTGAGCAGAATCTGCCTGCATGAGCATTGATTCAGATTTCTCTGTCCAAACTTCCTTTCTTTTGACCCACCCTTTGATATTTTAGCAAGTAACATCATGATAGAAAAGAAAATTGAAATATTAATGGTAGCAGTCTCACAGGAACATTTTTTATCCTCTTTTCCCCAGGAGGCTGGGGAATATATTAAGAAAGCTATATTGCAATGTGATTAAGTGCAGAAAGGTGTTTGCAGCTCTCTTCCCTTCCAAATTTGAAGGAAAAAGCAAGTGATAATGATGAGCTGAAATAACGACCTAAGTGTGAATCAGTAGCGATAACTATCTAAGCACTATATCCTGGATTAAAAAACCTAATGTCTCATCAGTGAATGAAGACTGAAGTGTGCTCTTCCCAAGCAGCAGAAAAATGAGTATCCACATGGGATTCTAGTAACTTTGGAGAGTGCTCTTGTGGCCTTATAACTGTGTCCTTGATGGTGTGGTAGTACGTGAAACAAAGGCTGGGCCCCAAGAATGAGATGGGCAGCTTGCAGCCCTTGAGCTCTTTCCTTGTGCAGGTCATAGGATTCTATTATTACAAGCTCCAACATTGTTCCTTAATGAGAGTGTATGAATTTACATACATTTACAGTGTATGAATTGAATGAAAAACTCCTGTACTGTTATGTGCTATCCACTTGCGAGACCAGGATAATTGTGAAGACACACAAACCCCATTAGTATTTAAGTTTCTATCTGCTAAGAAATGTACAGCCACTCTTCCTAGAGGGAGAATGCACAGCTTGAAATGGTCAACCTATTTCTGATACCCTTGGGTCAAGTCACCAGGGGTGTGCATGCTGTCTCCTGCTAAGAGTATCACAAGCCTTGTCACAACATCCAAAACCAGTGATGGGGATTATGTGAAGGATAAACAAGCTTTGTATAACCCATAGCCTGTTTTAGGGCATGCATATGGTTGTATTTTAACCCTCTAGTAATCCCCAGTGAGAAGCTGAGAAGCCAAACCATAGTAACTCCAGCCATATTCATGGTGATGGCTGAAAACCCTGCAACTCCTCATTGGCAGTTTAGCCTGTGTTGGGCTGTTCTGCTGCTTGACCTGGCCTGTAATAGTAACCTTACTGTGGCACTAGTGGCTGAAAATCTGGTGGCAACTTGGCTCAGAATCCAACAGCTGGAGAGGCAGAGCTGCACAACATTTGGAAAAGTGTCTTTCCTCCACCCACAACTAATGTCATAACTTTGTAGTGATGATACACTTTTCTCAAATCTGCTATTGCTACTTCTGCTGATTCAGAATGGAATTTGCCTTATCGAGTCCAAATGGCCAAGTAACATTCCTGCTTTTCTTGCAAAGAACTTGCAACAGTTCACTTTCTCAAGACTGAAAGCTCTCATTTTCAAACCATAAAAAATGAAGTCTCCTATTTATTGGTATCTGCATTTCATAGTTCAGAGCCAAGGGATTGACTGCCTGTTGATTTATAAATGAAAAATGTCTGGTCAGAAATAAAGTGGTGGTCTCTGCATGCTTAGGGGATTCCTTAAGTATGAAGGAAAGTTTTGAGAAATTAAAGGAAAACCTGAAAATGGCCCAGCAAGTTGCCGAAAGGACCTAGAACTTAGGATGTGGATAGCAGCTGAGCTTCATGGGGCAGGAGGGAAGGATGTCTGAAGGAGCAGACAGTGAGTTGACCAATCGAGTATATTCTTGAGAGCAATAGCAAAATACTGTATTAGTATATCATGGAGCAGGAGACAGAGAGCTGGGAAAGAGTGAGTTAATTTTAGAATCATAGAAGGGGAAGTTAGGACTAGGGGTGAATTTTTTTTTTGCAAGCTTCCTCCATTCTACTGATACACATGAGTTCCTGAAGGAAAGGAGAGGGCACCTTTCCCACTTTCCAGAGCCCTCCACTCCCCATCCCACTCTGCCTATATACTATAGCAACAGAATATCATACTTGGCCCTAGCAGCCAGCTCAACCTAAGTGCTGTAGTATTACAAAACAGGGGAAGGCTCGGTGGAATGGAAAGCCAAATAAATGTATTTTATCCCCCCATCACGCCTAAAATTCACTCTTCTCATGAGAACCATGAACAGTGCAGGTGTTTGGGACTGGCTAGAGCTTCTGAGGGACTGCTCTGATATAGAGCTGTAGGCACTTCCTGACAGTCAGGACCTCGAGGGTGTGGAATGGGCTTCCCCGGGAGGTGGCTGAGGCCCCATCGGTGCGAGTGTTCAAGGATAGGCTGGATGTCCACATGGTGGGCATGTCGTGAGCGGAGCTGGCTGGTGCCGGAGGTCAGACTAGATGGCCCGGAAGGCCCCTTCTGACTCACTCTGTTTTCTATGTTTGTATTATATTTTGAGCAGATTATTCAGGAACATAAATGAGCACTTGACATTGGAAAGACATGTTCGCTTTGGACTTTGCTTCAGGTGTCCATTGAATTCCATGTATGAGTCATTCTTAATCATATACAGTAAACCCAACCTTTGCTCTTAAGGTGAGGTTGTTGGCGTGAGAGCACGATCCTCTGAACAGGAGCCAAGCCAGGAGGAGTCTGAGGGTATCCTTGCGGGTTCAAGTGTATGAGCTCAGAACAGTCCTGCCGAGTATCAGCCTGTACTTGGGTTTGGGGAAAATTAAAAGCTTAAGTTTTCTGATGGATGCTGGTGATTATTGTATTGCACTTATGGTCCTCCTTTTTTCCACACGGGGTAAGATCTTTTTCCTTTGCTTTTTTCAGATTACTCCTTGACTAGTGCAGACCTGTCAGCTCTGCAGGGATTTAACTCCCCAGGAATGCTGTCATTAGGACAAGTATCAGCCTGGCAACAGCATCACCTAGGACAGGCAGCTCTCAGCTCTCTTGTGTAAGTAGGTGCTGCCACCCAGACCCTGCTCCATCCCACCGAAAGGATCGGCAGCTTTAGCCAAGCTACTCCCAGCCGGGCACCCCTTCCATTTAGTCTGCTAACCCTAGCCCCTGAGCTTGTCCTGATCCGGTTAGGGACAGGATTGGTTAACTTCTAGTTTTACCAGTTTCGATATATGCACACTTAGCACTCTTGGTGATTTATGACTTGCAGACTCTGGGGTTGGAAAGAATTTTGTAGAGAATGTCCCATGTTCTGATTTTTCCGTGCATTGCCCAGCACCTCCCTCCCTTCATGCAAATAGCCCCATTATAATAGTTCTCCCAGTTTAAATAAATACTTCAGGATGAAGGAGCCTGACATGAATTCCTCATAGAGTTGCCAGGGTCCCTACATCCCACTGCCAAGCCTCTGGCACCTAAATGAACCATGCATCTGAGCACTTGAGCCACTGTTGCTGAATTACAGGTGCCACAGCAAATAGTACTCTGGAAAGTTGCAGGGGTTTTCAGTGGGAGCTAGGGTGGTGTGGTAGTTGGAGGGGTTGCCTGGGGGCCTAGGTGATCTGGGTTCTAGTCCCCACACAGACAGGAAGCTCACTGGGTGGCTGGGCCCGTATGTAGCTCTCACCCTAAGCCACCTCACAAGGCTGTTGTTGTGAGGATAAAAAGGCGTGGAGGAGGACTATGTAAGCTGCATTGGGTTTCTCACAGGAGGAAAAAAGTTGGGATATAAATGCAATGTAGTGATAGTGGGACTCAGAGAAGTTTCTGTAGTCCTCTTGCCCATTGTACTCTCTCAGCAACCTAAAAGGCAGTGACTGGCCCAAAGTTACCTACTGAGGTTCAGGGTGAAATGGAGGCTAGAACCCAGAGCTCCTGAGTCCCAGTCCTGCTCTCCCACCACTGCATCCCAGTCTGGGCTGCCCACCACAAATGCAGCCATCCCTCTGCTCAGTCTTGACCCCCACCCCACCCTTTGTGTTGCATTAGCCTTGCTACACCTCAGATTGCTATCTCCACGCAGGCTGTGTCTTTCACACTCCAGCTCCGTGTAGTCCTATAAATGAATGTGTTTCTTCTTTCTCTCTTCCCCCATCCCCTGGGCTTTAATTGTTACTAGGGCTGGAGGCCAGTTATCTCAGGGTTCCAATTTATCCATTAACACCAACCAAAATGTCAACATCAAGTCTGAACCGATTTCACCTCCTCGGGATCGAGTGACTCCATCCACGTTCCCGCAGCAGCAGCAACAGCAGCAACAGCCGCCGCCACCAGCAGCGCAGCCACCGCAGCAAGCGCAGCAGCCACAATCACGGCAGGAAATGGGGCGCTCTCCTGTTGACAGTCTCAGTAGTTCCAGTAGCTCGTATGATGGCAGCGATCGCGAGGACCCGCGGAGTGACTTCCATTCTCCAGTTGGGCTGGGAAGACCTCCAAATTCAGAAGACAGGGAGAGTCCGACGGTGAAGCGGATGAGAATGGACACCTGGGTGACATAAACTTCCAGTTCCTCCTTCTGTTTCTACTTTTGAGTTATCCCAATGAACAGTCCTGACATATCGAAATTTATAAATAAGGACATGAAATAAATATTTATATGTATATAAATACATGCATATATATCTTTGTATACGTATATATGTGTGAGTGTGTGTGTGTAGCAAGACACAAAAAGAAAAATCAGCAGGCACTTATTACCAACTCCTTGTATAGTGCAGAATGCCCCATTTTATTTTATTTTTAAATAGAACAGAAGAACTCTTATAGGTGTTGATCTAGTCTGGCACTTAACCTGGAATTTGTTTCTTGAACCATGTAACCTGTTTTGCAAAGGAAATGTTGTCCCCATATGTAATCTACCAAATTAGATGGCAGAAATGTGAGGGCTTGCCTGTAGTTGTGTTCCGTGTGTGTTTTCCAGCAGCTGTGTGATCCCTGTAGTTAAAATTACGCTTTGTAGCAACAGAGAAGTAGAAAAAAAGAAAGCAATACTGTACATAGAATGACCTCTGTCATACCCAGTCTAGCATGGGTCTCTCTTGCAAAGGGTGCATGAAGAAGGGCTGGCATTATTTTAGACACACACACGTGCGCATGCACACACACATACACACACACACACACACACACGCACACACACACCCCTCTGTTTTTGCACGTGCAAACAAAATACAGGGGTCAGGTAAGATTTTCTTTTTAAACCCAGTGAGAAAGACACATAAATAATGAGCATGAAATATTCAGAAAATGTTAGCCTAGAAAATAGTCCATAAAGAAATTTTTAATATATTAAGTTATAATTGGAATATGTTTTAAAAGCTATTTCTTATGTTCCTCCTACCTTTTTTAAAATAGTGGAAAACAATTTTAGCTCGTGTATATTTTTTATTAAAGAAAACATACCCTTCTTGAAGACTATATAGAAAGTTATATACAGTACTTTTGAACACATCCTGCTATGAATTATTTATACAAGCCAAAGCTATATGGTGTAGCTTTTTTTTTTTTGGTAGAGGATAGTCCTAACTTGGTTTTTTGACTGCCTGGTTTTTGTTTGTTTTTGTTTTTTAGGTTTCAGGGGAGGAAGGAAAAAATCTTGCAGGCAGAACCTTGGGGAAAAATAAGCCATGAATACTTATTATTCTATATGTAAATTAAAATTTGAGCCAAACTTTGTGTATATAGCATCTTAAATATATTATCACCTTTTGGTGTAAGTACGTATGTATTGTACGTTCACCAGATTAAAAAGTCTATTTTTGTGGATTGACGCCAACTTGAAGAAAAAAAGAAAAGGCGAGGTCCTTATTAAGTAGAGTATTCACTGTTTAATATTTACTATTTTGTTCAATATACTGTACTTCCTTTTAGATTTTAATTAATATTATCCAGATTTTTTCAGAGGGTGTTTTAAAAAGGGGCTGCCCCCTCTCACTGGTGGTGAATGTGTGTTGTTAAAATTGTACTCTTTTTTTGTGCTGTATGGTAAAGCTTCATTATACATTTTATAAATATATATATATACATATATGTGTATATATACATATATAAATATATGTATATAGATAGCAAAGTGATAACCCCCTCCCCAATCCCCTCCACAAAAATTGGTGTCAAGTTCATCCTGCATAAATAGAAACAAGGTGTTGTAACATGTTTTTAAGGCATTATATTAAAACTGCCTCTTGTAGGGGCTGGGGGTGCAGGGAGAACTCTCTTTAATACTCATGTTGTTGAAGTAATGGAAACATACACTGAGAAGCAAAAAAGGGGTTTTGAAGTGGTATGTGGATCTGGAGCAGACTTAGGTTCTAGAAATGATTTATTATTATTACTATGGTTCATACATCAGAGCAATTCATCATGAATTAATTAACCTGCAGGTCTCCAAAACATGCACCGGCAGCTATTTTGAACATACAAGCCATGTTGGGGTTATGTCACAAATTGTCATGTTCTGTGAACCTGGGCATTGTAGCTTACTTGAGGGTTATATAGCTCTCAGATAATCCTAGAACTCTTGGTATTATTTAGGACAAGTATCTTTCAAAGTGGTGCTCGTGGGAGAGGAGTGGGTTTTTGATCCTTCACTTTTCAGCTTAAGGGTTGCTTCACATGGAGCTGAGGGAGGTACCCATATTCTGATATGAATATACTTCAAGGAATGGCAACCAGCATATATTTTACAATATGCATTTTGAGTATGTTCAAGTTGCATCTTGACCGTCAAATTAGATGTGATGTTAGTGTTGCTGTAGTGCACATGATACCTGCTGACGGAGTTGATGATTCAGGGTGGCAGAAGGTGTGGGGTGAGGGGAATTAAATCCCCTTACCCCCTCCTGCAGCCCTGACCAAAACAAAACAAAACAAAACAAAAAAAATCCCCACTCCAAAACTGCCATTTGCAGTGGGAGAAAAGCTCCCATTGACAGCAGCTTCCATTGAAAAAATGTATTCATCATTATGTCTGATTCAACCTGTCAATGCGAATAGTCTTACACCTCCATTTAACTTAACTAGTCTGCGAAAGTAAAATCCAGTTTAGCAATGAGTGTCCTTAATTTCATTTCAGGTCATTACTTTTTGCAACAGTTAGGAAGTCCTGTAAATTGCAAAGGCTGTTGCAATGCTAGTAAAACTTTGGTAAGTGGCTTGGATAGAATTCCATGTCTGGGTCAGTTCACATGCAGGATGTGTGAGCACTTGAGAACTGCTCCGAGCACTTAGCTTCACAGTAGATAGGCAAAGATAAGAGCCCATGTCTCCATGTTTGGGCTGCAGACATGTCTGATGCAACCTGCGCAATTTGGATGGCTCGAAAAGTGTCATCATAGTAGTTTGATTTTCTGTGGAGTGAAAAGATCAATTCGTGCTTTGCATCTGGTTTACTGTGATGTTGCAGGGCATGTACTATATAATTTCTCAGTGCTTAGAAAGAAAGCAAAAATGAAAGCTGTCCCCTGTATAACTCATTTGCTTAACCCTTCCCACCCTTCTTTATGTAAAACTGTATGTCCCAATAATGGGTTCTTCAGCTTGACTTTTTTTTTCCAATTTTTAAAAGAATTCTGGAAATGTGTAAGTGGCTAGGCTCTGTTGCCCACCTTGGTTATACTTCTGCAACCCAGCTACTTTTATCTTGATGGGGTAGAACAAAAAAGCACTGAAGTGTTTGGTCCTCATACCACTGTTTAGACTCGCATGGGATCCAAAATCACCACTTCACAGCTCTCTCTGATGCTTCAAAATGGTATGTTTCTCAGTCACTATTTATGCATCTATATGAACTTTGCTGTACATTTGAATGGGAGTTCTTCATTTCACATTTACTGTCTGATTTCTTGTGTGCCTTAATGAGATGGCTTTGCTGACTGTATCTCAATAGTCTTTATTCCTATGCAGGTTTGTAAGGAGTTACATCACCATACATTTTCTTTAAAAAACAAAAGAAAAAGAGGCTTGGGCTTAGTACTTGAATCAAGCCAACCAAATCTTTAAAAAATTAAGTTCTCCAAATCAGACTGTTAATTCCTCGCCCATCTCCTTGTTTTAGGATCTGGCTCTATCCATTGTCTCCTGTGAAACAACTTCACATCATGAAAATGCTTTTTAAAAATGCTGCCTTTTTATAATTAACACTAATAATGTAACTCTAGACATTTTGGAAGTCTTTTAACACCTTGATACTGTAGGCGAGGGTCGTTGTGAGTGCAGACAGGATGGCTGCAGTAGTGTCCCATGCTTGAGCATGTGAGTGAGTCGGTGTTTCTATGCTCCCATTTGCTATTCCTTCGTACCAAATATTAAGTTTTGCACTGAAAGTAGCTGGCTCTGCAGCAATCCAAAATGATTTTAGGGTGCTATATACCTGAGTGACCCCTGTACCCTCTGAGCCCAGTTTCCTGCTGTGTAACAAGAGTTGTGCAACTAATCCAGTAGCAGTGAGTCGTGGCGACCCATGTGGGCTGCTCCAAAGAATTCTCCATCCTGTTCCATATCCTTGTTGTTCCTTGAGCCACAGCTCCCCAAGTCGCATGCAGGGGAGTTTGTGTGATGTTGTGGGAGAACGGGGGTGGGGAAGGGGCTGCTGTTTAATGATGCTGTAAAATCATACCAGTTACATGCAAACTTGTTCTTTAGGGGTTTTCTTTTCTTTCTTTAAGTAGCTATTTAAGTAACAAGTTCTAAGTGATGCTCTTAGAAACCAATCCAAACACTGCAGGAAGGCACATGGCACAATTTCTAGGCCAGCTCTGCCTCAGAAAGGGGATTTATTGCTTGAAACGGCCTCATGTCAGACTCATGGCCACCCTGCTGGATAAGACCAAAAGGTCCTGCCTGGTCTGGCATTCTGTCCACATGGTGGCCTGTGGGCAGCCCACAAGTAGGACTTGAGTGCCCTAGCATCCTGCCATTCATGTTCCTCAGCAACTGGTATGCCTAGGCACACCAACTCTCATACTGGGGGTAGCATATAGCCATCAGGACTAGTAGCCATGGGTAGCTTTCGCTATGAATTTTGTTCAACACCCCCTCCCATTCAAGCCGTCCAAATCAGTGGCCGTTAACTACATCTTTTGGCAGTGAATTCCATAGTTCAGCTATGGATCGTGTAAAAGAATAACTTGATTTTATCTCCTGAATCTCTCACCAGTCATCTTCATGCAATGACCCTCCTTGTACGGGGAGGGGGGGGGGAAGTCCCCCATCTACTATTCTGCTTGAGGAAGGCTAGCATACTGGGTGTGTTGGCTTTCTGCATGCAGGGGCTTTGGACAAGAGAGCACTTTCAAAGAAGTGACAATCCCACCCTCTCTGCCAGGTTCTGAGGTGCTCCTGGCTTGTCAAGAAGGCCATTCCACACTTCTCATGCTTGTTTTTTCTAATTCTACAGCTTGTGCATTGAGGTTGTTCACCTACACACCTTTTTGATCCTGAAAGAGCATAATGAGATTTAAAAAAAAATCCATGGATTTAATCGTATAACTAGAATCAATGGCATTCAAGACAAGACTGCAACTACATTTTATCTTGCAGATATCCACGTTACTAGAATGGCGTCGAATGTTGCAGACATGGCAACACTGACTTGACATGGCATGCTAAATAACGCATATTCTTTCTAAAGAGAAGTAAGGCGTGTAGGTAATGCTTTAGCCCTTAACTATAAAGGACACTAATGCATTGACAAGTGTACTGTGCGCACAAGAAATACATAGTAAATAGGGAACATAAATGACTCCTGCCAGATAAACCATGGGAAGAAGTTTGAAATTTAGAATGTGAAAGACTGAAAAAATTATTAGAAATTTTCCTCACTTTGCTGTGCAAGAAAACACTGCTTTGCTATATTTAAATAAGAAAAGCTTTTTTAAAATAAAATATATGTACTTGGTAAATGTTTGTAGTCAAGAGTTCACAGATGAAGCTGTTTGCGGTTAAAGCCGCCTGGCGGCACAAGCTGGACTTTGTTGCCATCTTTGAGACGAATCTTTAAGAAAAAAAAAAATAAGTTAATCTTTTTCCCTGAATGTGGTGTTTTTTTCTTCATTATACAATAAATATTCTAGTGAACTTTTTATGAAATGGTTGAGAAAATGCTAGAAGTTGTTGTAAAATATTTGTATCTTGCATTCACTAAAGTAAAAATACTGGCTTTTACTGTGTATATCAGACTCGCTCATATTTAGAATGAAGTTTGCTTGATTCGTCCCACTGCCTTCCCTCAACCCTCCAGTGCCTAATCTGGCTCAGGTTTAGTTGTCCATTCAACTTGCCTCCATGCGCCAAAAGATCCATGTGCAGTGGAAAAGAAATACTTGTATTCAAATTTGGATCCTGCATCTTGGTACACATTTTTGGCAGGAGAAATAACGTGATTGGAGCAAGAGAAATTATTTCCTGCTGCCTGAATTGTGGCCATTCAAAGCAGCCTTCCCTGGCATGGTGTGCTGCAGAGGTGCTGTGACCATGGCTCCCAGAATTCCTGACCATTAGCTCTGCTTCCTGGGGCATTTATGGATTGTAGTCTTTAACACCTCTGGAGGTTGGAGAAGGCTCACCTTTATGTCTGCCTTTTCCTTTTCTGCCTTTTGATTCCAATCTTGCAGCATCTAGTTTATGGCAATGGGTATCCATCTTTCTCCTCCTCTCAGCCCAGATGATGAAGATGGGGGGAAATGCCCTGTAATGTTAAGAAGTTGCAGAGAACAACCATGGAAGCAATTTTGGTAGGTGTACCCACAGGGCATGGAAATTAGTTTATGCATCTATTTAAAACAAAAGCAGGTCTGTCTGCATTGACATGTGATGTTACTACATGTTTTGCAGCTTTAAGAAAAACTTAACATGATCTGAGGACACGGTGTGACCTACTTACGCATCTTGACCTAGCAGTTGAAGAGGAATAATGTAAGCTAGTGCAATAGGAGACATAATGGAGAAGTTCTGCTTGTTTCTTTGTAACCATGGCAGATGCAGCAGCTTCTAGGTGTAACCAACAGGCAAGTAGGTTAACAGCTGCAGCTGCAGTTGAGTTAGACACCCTTCCTGAATCCATTTACTGTGGATGCTCCTAGATGATTACAAATGTTTTCCAGGCCTAGTTTGAATTCTTTTCTTTACCACAGAACATGACTTGGCTCATTTATTGTACTATACCTTTAGAAATTTGAACTCGGTGTGCTAAAAATAATCAATGTATAGTAATTCACTGTAAGCTCCCACAAATGCCTATGTAGCATCTTTGTGCCTTCCAAACCTGATTTTTGTGTAAATTCATGTGAGCTGAGAGAGTTATAGGATTCTTCAGCAAAGTTATAGCAAAGCAGTTACATATGTTAGGAAGAATCAACCTGTTCTGAGTGGGAAAAGATGAAAAAGTAGAACCAGTAGGTTCAATTTTTCCACTATCAAGTACCCTCTGATTGATTGTCAAACCCTCAGAGAACCCTGCACCCGGTTCAAAAGAACCAGCAAGCCTGGCATTTGCAGGCATTGTAGGAAAATTCAACATCCCCATGACAAGCTACTGGGCAAATCACCTCTTTAGGTTGAGTGAATTACGCTTTTTATGGGTTGTAGAGTATGTGAGAAAAAGTAGAATGGGAGGGGGGGCTCATCCCACAGTTTATAGTAATCTTCCATGTCACCCTCATCCTTCAAAAAATTTCCTGCAACAGACTTGTACTAGAAGAGTTTTAAAAATGCAAAACGAACTTCAGTTTTCAAATTCCCCTTGTACGAAACCAGATATGAGCAGATGGAAGTCTGGTTTGGAGGCATCAGATACATCAGTTCTAGAACTGTGTTGGAACTTAACACTGATAAACTAGAATGACCTAGATTAGCAAAATACTACCCCACAAAATAATAGTAACCCTTCCAAATTTTGCCATAGACTAGATGGGTGGGCAACTAGCTGGCTGCCTGCTGGCTTGGCATTTTTGTCCCAAGATATGCAGCCCAAAATATCTGGAGTGTACCAGCTTTCTCATATACATTTTGAATGATAAACATCGCAAACTCAAGGGCTAGAAACATCTTGCTGTGAAAGCTACCATTCTTCAGAAGTTGGCTTCTGCCAGTACTGTTTTCTACATGAAATCAATTATGCTAACCCTCTGAAAAGACCACATCACAAGACAGAGAAGAAATGTTCGATGAGGCTTGCCTGCTAGCTGGATAGGTATTGACATGTGCTTAGCCGAACTGGCTAGAGCTTCCATGCAAATTTTAAGACTTCTACAAGTCAGGTTTTTTCCCTTTGTAATTATAGTAAAAGGCAGACTTCCTTGCCCAATTTTCTTGCTTGGGTTTTCCAAGTACATTAGATTTGCCTTGCCCTCTGCGATAGCATTTTCAGCCAAATTCCTTTTTGTTGCAACTATGTTGTCAGTTACAGGAGGGCGAAATGGAAATCAATACTTGAGTGCTCTGGCAAAGACTTAAAGGGAGTGTCTTGTTTTGGTCTTTGAAAGATTTTGCAGCTGAAACAGATTTAGCTGTTTTCCACTGAAACCAACTTTTACTAGTTTCCATGGGCATGAAGCTGGACTTGGAAAGATCTGCTAAAGTGCATGTGCAGCCCAACCGGTGATTAGTCATAAGGGAACTTCAGCTGTCCGGAGCTTGTGCTGGCCTGCAACCATCCTATGGACAGACAGGAAGCCGTGTTCAGGCCTTGAGGATGGGATGCCATCACCAGCTGCTGTGTTACCGGTGATAAATAACATATTGCAGCAAAAACAGCTAAGTGGAATCATGAAGCCTTAACAAATTGATTCTGGCCTAAGCATTCAAGGTCTATAGCCCACTTCATCAGATATGTGAAGGGTTATCAAGAATTCTAGGTAGACAAACTCGCTGTGTATGTTTGTTGACATTTATATATATGTAAAACACTCCCAAGCAATCAATGCACATATCTATTTTTCCAAATATATAGCGTGCATAAACGCTGCACGCATACCTGTACATACACATCCCCAAACTCCCAATAATTCATCTGAACAGGGCTACCGTCCACAATTGTTTATGATGGAATAAATTAGCCTCTATTTTATTTGACTGTCAGTAATTTATATTCTGCCCAAATAGCAAATCCCCTTGCGTGATTTAGAACCATTGCCTCCCAATACTACAATAAACACCAAATCCATAAATAAAGTTATAACAATTTATATTAAAACCCCAGCAGTGAAGTAAAAAATCAGCACAACAGGCTGAAATGTGTGGTGGGAGAGGAATCTCTTCGCCAGCTGCTGTGCCATAAAAAGTGCATCCTACAGAGGGACCCTTCCATCACAGCAGGGGCCGTTCTGACATGCCTGTTTACAGCTTGGCTGCAGCCCCCACCATGGGCAAATGGACACAGGAAGTGTTAATGGCTTCCTCCTCAGCCACTCAGCTTTGAAGTAGTGGCCCTTCTTAGCTTTGGCAGCAGGCGGCCCTCACCTCTTCAGCAAAGACACCTACACCAACAGAAGCAGCCCGCTTGGCTTGAGGCTGCAGTATCTCCTGCTTTATCCCATTTTTCTGTGGGGTGCCCTAAGCACCCCACCAGGTTTGCCCACTCTCATGGATAGCGGACTCTCACACCCTTTCCTCAGAATTTACACAGATTCTCCCCACATCCTCCATTTGATCTGTTTTTGTTTTGCAAGTCAAGCCTCTGAACTAGCCCAAGAGACCATGTGCTGGAATGGGAGAGAACCAGGTACCGACTGATCCCTGCTCGCTGGGTGACACAGGGCAGGTGCAGCATGGCCTCCTTCCCAGCCTGGTTATGAGGACACAAGCGGTAGGGGAACCGAAAGCTGTGCCCCTGAACTCCTTGGAGGAAGGGTAGAAAGAAAGGAAGCTCTTCCCAACCCACACACACACAGCACTTGAGCAAAAAGCTACATGTGCATGTATAAACAAACTTGAGAAGGGAGAATAAATAAAAATTCATATCTGAAAAGATACAATGTGCAAATACTAACAGGATAGAGTTTAATGAATTGGCAAATAGAGTTGTCAGCATTTTAAAAAGCCCACATAAAGGGGGTGGGGGGGTGCATTTGGTGAGGTCCTTTTTCCTCAAAGGAGCTGTAATTCAAACTCTCAAAAGAAGCCCTGGGAACCAAACTAAATTCTCAGGCGGTGGCAGATGCAAGCAACATCAGCCCCAACAACAGTGAAGGTAGGAAAGGGAAACTGAAAAGCAAGTGAGTACATGGGCAAGGAGAGCAGAAACCTCTTCCCAAGAGCCTTTTTCCCGGTCTGCTATCTGAGGTCAGCTGAAGAGAGAAGCTCTTACAAGGATGGTGGGGTGGGGTTTTGTACTGATGCCCCTCACTGCTAAAAATGGGCCGCCGCCAGCATTCTCTTCCACCATGATAACGGGTTTGCTGGCCGCTCTCTCCATTCCATCTTGCCCTGGTTCTTCACGGTGTCCTCCCAGCTACTGTTCAGTGCCAGCAATCTAGGTGTTGTCTTTTAATCCAGAATGCTCTGTTCAAAGTTAAGAGTTTCTCATTCACGTTTTTCCTGGGTGGGGGGGGGGTAACATGACGATTCATCCCCCGGATCGAAGGAAAGCAACTGTTTGTGGGGTATGTTCTGCTTGTGCAAGGTGATCTGGACTCCCCTTCACTAGTCCACGCAACAAGTTATTCGCAGCACCGGTCGTGTTGGACAGATTAGCAACCACCTCCAACCCCCTGGTCTTAAAATAGACAATATAAAATACTGGCAAAATGACTCCTATGAGGAGCATAACTAACACCGCATTCCACCACTGGATCCCACAATCCACTCCGCTGCTGACTTCCTTCTGCCCTGATGGTGACCAGAGCGGTGTTTCAATGCAGTAATCTGTGCTTGGACAGGCATCCACCGATGCCACTTGTTCAATGTTCTGGTCAATCCCTCTGAAATACCGACTGATTCGCTCGTGGTCTGCACACTGGTTGTCTCTGTCGCTGGATTCAGACAGTTCATCAGGTAAAAGGCCAGTGCACTGAGGAGCTGGCACGGTCCCACCAATCTCTGTTAGCAGGCCATTGACTTTGACCGGAATCTTGATGGCTTTCAGAGCATACATGTCTTGCTCCTGGAAAAAGTTATTGACCTGTTTGATATCTGCAACCTGGGAAAGTTAGAGGGCATCAGTTATTTGAACAAGTACCTTTTCCATCATAGGCAAGAGCTGCTTTTCGCTTCATGGTACAACAAGACAGGAAGCTGCCTCCCACTGGGTCCCCCAGCCTGTGATTCCAATTCCGTTCCTGCATAACTCCATATCATCAATATGAAATTGCAGCAGTTCATCGGGGTTCCAGGTTAGGTTTCTCCCCAGCTCAGCCTGAAGAAACCAAAGCATGAACCTGGATCCTTCATGCCAAGCATGTGTTCTGCCACTCAACCTGCAGTGGCCCCACTCTCTCTCTCTCAGGAAACTGTCTTGAGCACTTAATTTTTTTACTTTGGAAATAAAAACCTTCAGCCTTCCAAAAGTTGAAGCACTTCAAGCTTCAGCCTCTAACACAAGCTTCCAAAAGGATGAAACGTCTGAGGAGAACCTCTTTGCCCACCCAATCCAAAGGGAAAAACATTAGTAGGTTAAACAGAAGTGCAGTTTAGATTATACAGCACAAAGTGACTCATGCCAAAGGATAAGCCATGTTTGCATGGAGGAGGGGTTCTCCTCATGTTAGCCCAAGGATAAAATCTATCTGGTTTTGTTCTGGAGACTGTTCCCAGGCTTATCCTCAAGTCCATCCTCTGCTCTCACTTGTGCTTCAGGGAAGCTCTCCTGTTTGTGGATCATCTCTGTTGCTCTTGCTGCTTTTTCAGTGCCAAGCATAATGTGGAGCACATTTTAGCACCTGTGCACAAACAGAGAAGTAAAAAACCCAGCCTGCACTGGAAATCCAAGTGGGTGGACCTGAGCACAAGTCCAGCTCAGAATGGGCAGGCAGTCTTGGAGCCAAATCCTTATACAACCTGGCTGTGTTCTGCTGAGCCACCAGATCCTTTGGACACCCAGCTAAGTCATACATAAAAACAACCAACACTGAGCTTTTGCTTCCATTTTAGATTACCTGCCGCTCACCATGCTATCTGAACCAGGACACACTGATTAAACTTAAGTATGGTCAGTGGGAGGAAAACAACTTGAAACAGTAGTTTATTGAAATGGCTTCTTAACTAGCCATCATATTTAAGATGGGGGGGGGGCAGCTTAGGGTATGGCATGCACACTTCAAACAAAAGAGGAAGCTTCCGGTCTCTCTGTGGCCATGGAAGGAGAGAGCACTCTAGCTGGAAGTTCATTTCAATAAAAGTCTAAATGTGGCTGCTTCAGCCTTTGGATGCTGCTATTTTGGCCAAGAAAACTGCTTCTCACACTCCAGGCAGGCAGGTCTAGTAAGCCTTTCAGGGTCAGTCCTGTACATAATAGGACAGAGGAAAGCCCCACAGTTCCCACCATTCACCAGCTCCATGGCTGGCTGGGGAAGGCTGAGAGTTCAGGGATTCTCTTTCTGCCTAAAGATACTGAGTTTTTCACAGATTATGTTTTACAGATTTCCAATAGTGGCCAATCAGAGCCCTTTGCAAGTTCGGTATCCACCATCTGTACAGAGGTTCCTTATAGGAGTACATGACAGCTCACTGTTGGTAGAGACCTACCCACTTTCCCTTTATTCATTTTTAAAATCAATAGTAGCCAAGCCAGGATTAATCACACCTGCACATTAAATAGGCAAATTATGTGCTGTGTTCATTTGTGACCAAGGTGAGGGGCTCTCTCATAACTTTATAAACCTTTACTGGGTCAATCTCACCAACCCTGTTGTTGTCCGTAAACAATTTTAAAAGATGCCAGTTCTTAAACCAGAAGATATGCCATCCAGAGAAACCCCTAACATCCCCCAGCCACCATCGTGAAAACTGTTGCTGAAAAGACCTGCCCAGAGTGATCCACAAATGCTATGCTGCAGCTGATTTCTGAGTGCAACAAACAACCCCCTTGCTTCCTTTCACAGAACTCTGAAGCAGCTTCCTGCAAGCACCAGATAGAGTTCTTGACTTAAACTTTTCCTAGACTCAAGGTTTTTTAACATGGCATTGCAACACTGAGCCACTGAGCCAAGTTTCTTATCGCACAGGATCTTGGATATCCTGCTCAGGGAGTCATGAGTAACTGCTAATGAATGGGCACCTTGCCGTTTCTTCGATGAGATTAGTTGCTTCAGAAACGAAGTGCTGGACTGGGCCATCCAATGTGGGGAAGAGCTGTGGTGCCCACTTTGCATGCCGATGGTCCCAGGTCTGATCGCTGGCATCGCAAGACAGGGCTAGGAAGGCCTTGGAAAGCCCCGGTCCCTGCATTGGGGCAGGCAATGCTGAGCAAGATGGGAGTTGCAGCCTGACCCTGTATACAGACACCTTCTTATGCTTCAGGGATGCATGTTGATCTGATGAGACAAGGTGGATCATGTTCTGATCAGTTTTGCTCATCGAGCTACATATTTCTCACTCTGCTGCTCTCAAAACTGCAAAGGGTTTGGGTTTTTTTTCCACCCAGCCATTTGGATAGGCAGTGGGGTGAATCAGCTAAGTAACACCTCCCGTCTTGAATGGCATACTGATTAGATGACAGTGTGAGGAAGCAGAAACTCCCAGTTTGGTTTGTTTTGCTAAAGGCTGTGCTTGGGAGCACATGCCTTCCACTTCTGCCTACTGACTAGTCAAACCAAGCCTTTCTTAGACTTGCAACATCCTGAATCAGATATTAATTCTATTAAGTGTGTCACTGAAAACAAAGCCCATGTATGTACACAAGGTAAGTGGAAACACAAATACAGTCGCCTCTTACTTTGCATCCGTACTGCAAAGCCAGCTTGTTGAGACTGTCATCTTCTTTGACTTCTCGTTCTAGGAACACCACATCCCCAACTCTCTCCCGGGTAACATCACATGGCTGTTGCTCGCTCTTCCTTGCACGTAATTCCATGACTTCGAGTTCCTCTTCTGATGATTCATCAGAACCCGACTGTCTGCTTCGGAACAAGAAAACTTGGCTACTTGGGAACTTCTGGACAGTGGCAGGAGCTTGAAAGGACCTCATCAGCCCCTTGTTTAGCCTCATGTTTTACAGCAGCCTCTACAAGATAAAACATGGTGTTTGGATTGCTTTTTTATGGGTCATAAAACGAGCAACATAAAACTCACTAACAGTTGGCATCGGGCCCAATACAGATAGGTCCTGGTGGGATTACTGGATTACTCATTACTCATTTGGGAGCAAAAGGTGTGCCCAGCCCAGCCTGCTCCTTTAGATGTTGCTGCAATCCAACTTGTGATTCTTTCCATCATTTTTCCTATTAGCTCTTTCTTTGGGTTATTTTATTTTATTTTTACACATTTCTACCCTGTCCTTTCCCCAAGCCTCAGGACAGGCTTACAAGCCTCAGGACGGTTCATGCACTACACACAAGATTATTGGGAACAGATACACATTTGTCAAAAAAACTGCAATTCAACCAGGCCCTCTCCAGAGCGCACTTGTTTCTTAAAATGTACTTTGGTCATTCAGCCACTTGCGAGTTAAGACACGTAATCTCTGCATGCAATTGTCTCCTTAACTTTAGCAAGAGGGGTGTCAAGTGTAGGAATTGTCCCTTCAGACACATGTTGGCTTGACCTCCATGCAACTAGCTAGCATCTGGGTTCATTAGTAAGGTATGCTGCTATTGTAGGGGGACTGGACGTTCTGCCTCCTCTTTCCCATGGCAGACCCTCCACCACCACCCCCTAAATGCTACATAGGCCGAGGGAACCCTTCTAAAGGTGGTAAGCTACAGTATGCATGTATACCCCAAAACTGGGCAGATGGACCTTCTGAGAGCAAAGCACAGGAGACTGATCCTGGACCCAACCCTACTTGTTCAGTTTAAAGTCTCAATGGAAAAGGGTACATATGCTATTGAATTAAATAATTTCCAAGGTACTAGAACCCAAAGAATTCCAGGAAGGGCCATTCCAGGAAGGATTCCTATTCTGTGAATCCTTAGTCACATCACAACTAATTCCTTGGGGGAAATCTGTGTGTGTTGCTTTAACCATATATTGCTGTGGTATAAACTTTGCAAAGCACAGCCACTGAGTCCCAGTTCTCTCTTTACTGAATAACAACTCAGGAATTGTAATTGCTGGCATCCAATGAATAAGTGATGACTACATCTTAACTTCTCACCTATTCCCTCCTGTGTCTGTTTTGACGTGAGATTGTGGGTGTTAGCTATGGGTGGTGCTGGTTGTTTTTCCTAAAGGTAAAACTCTTATTTACTAAGGTAAGAACTGCTCTTCTGCCTGGCCCAGTATCTTGCTTTTAACAGTAGCCAGCCGGATACTTCTGAGAAGCTCAGATTTCCTGTTTATTTCTTTACCTTTATGTTTCAGAAGAATTACACCAGTGCATTCCACTGATCCTATTTAGCCATGAGCTACCAGTATTTGAATTCAAATGGCCCACTCACCCCCACTTATCTTCCAGAATAGGCAGTAGTGCAACACATTTTTCCATGAACTACAGCAGAGGCCTACCTGTCTCAACCTGCAGAGGTTAGATGGCCATCAGCCACGGATGCTGTTGTGTGTTGTGCGTGTGTGTGTATGCAGAGTGGGGGGGGGGATGTGATGAACTTTAAGGCCATTCCAACTCTAAGATTACCTTACGCAGATCAAAAGGATCTTAGCACTAAACCACCTGTGTTAATAGGTCTAGGAAGTGTTAGGATGGGGGCTGTACCACTGCATGTGTGTGATCTAATTCACACACATGCTAGTGACCCCATGGCTTAAATGAACCATGGTGGGATGTGGGGAATGAGCGCTGCCGCTGTGAATACTCCCGCCATGCTGGGTGGTTGCCACAGCTGCTGAACAATGTACACGGCCTGAAGACAAACTGGAGTGGGTGAAGTGCAAACCCTGGCAGGGTGGCTCGTTGTCTGGCTGTGTGCATGCATGCATGAGTCACAAAGGGAGGGGAGAGGTTTTGGAATATTTAGGAAAAGTTTTTAATAGCATTTTCTTAAAAAAAACACGCCTGCTATCAGAAAATTAGCATAGCCCTGTGCCACGTTTCATACTTCCTGACCCTGGATGAGGTTACTATATGGAAGGGACTTTTGACCAGCGTTCAAAGACATGCCACACCCTCTCCAACTCCCCATCCCTCCCAGTATAGTCCCGCATCTTGCTCCCTCAGTCTTCCACCGGATCCTGTGCAATGGGTTGATGAGCCCCACTGCCCACCCCGTCCCGAGCCTCAAAATGAGGCGGGCAGGAATCACCGGGGCACGATCCCTTTTCTCCCTCCTCTGCTTTCCCAGTCCCTGCAGGAGGAGCGGGGATTCCAGCACAGCCTGATCCCTAGGGAAGGAGAGGGCAGCAACTCCCTCGCCCACGCACCCCCTCCTAGTCCGCTCGCGCACTGCCCGCATGGGTGCCCACTCTCACCAGCACGTAGAGTCTCACAAACCACACCTGCGCTCCTTCACACAGTCTCACAGCCACAAATGTGCGGAGTCTCTCACGCACTTCCATCACAGTTCCTCTGTCCCGTGCTCGCTCACACTCCACGCACGGGCACAGTCCTTCACACGCGCTCGGCCCCTCACACACAGACACGCTCACACTTGCTCCCTCACAGCCTCCGCCCTCGCACAATTAGCCTCTTTCTTTCACACACGCTCGGTCACTCATTCACACGAACTCTCTCGCGCGCGCAGGCAGGCAACGTGTACGAAGAATGGAGCCACCCCAATGCGGGGGAGGGAGCTGGGGCTTCCCGCCCCGCAAGCCCTCGCCGCCTCCTCGCCCCGCACCCGTTCTCCCCCTCCTCGCCCCCCACCCCTTACCGACCTGGACTCCAACCGCACCGCTCCCACCATCTTCCGCCTGGCGTCACCCGCTCCTGCTAGTCGGGCCCCTCGCACCGGGATTGGCTAGATCTCCCCAGGAAGGAAGGGCGAGAGCAAGGCGCCAACCAATGGCCTGCAGAAGCGGCGATCCGGGCCGAAGGCAGAGGCTCGAGCTTGGTGGAGCGGTCAGCGGGGGAGCGTGCGGCGGGGCGGGGCGCGAGGGGCCTGGCCGGCCTCAGCCTCGGGGGCCGCTCATCCCGGCGAGCCTTGCGCGGGCGCGGGAGCGAAACGGGCACGCGGGTCGCGCCGGCCGCGCCAGGGGCGGGTAACGCGCCCCAGCGGGGGGCGGGGGGGCTGGCCACGAGGCGCCGGGGGTGGCCCGGGCCGCCCCCGGCGCTGCTGCTCCGCCCTGGGCATCCCGGCTGGGCGCGCGGCTCGCCTCGGCCGTGCGACGGCTCTGCCGGCGGCTCCCAAAGCGCGCGGGGGCGGGTCCTGTGTCTTGCCCGGTGCGGAGTTTTCATTTTTTATATTTCTGTCCAACTGCTTTCTCCTGCAAGGAACCCAGAGCGTCTTGCGGATAGATAATGCTCCTCTCGCGTTATCCTCGCAACGACAGCGCTGAGAGGTAGGTTAGAGGCAGCGACCGGCCCCCAAGCCAGCACGCTAACCACTAAGACACACTGGCTCTGTCCAGGTTTAGAGTGCAACCTGAAACTCTCACGGGTCCCATCCAGTGTGGTTGATGGTCGGAGGTGACGGTGTTCTGCCCCAAACATCCGGGGGGGGGGGGGCTTGGTTGCAGAAAGTTGCACTGTAACATAATAGACTTTTGCATGGCTTCACACAACCCACGAGAGAACCGTTTCCGTTCATTTGTGGCCACATTCTTGCAATTGTGTCCTATGCATGCAGCTGCCCTGATGCAATGTTCACCTCCTTCCAAGAATTGTGGTCCACATTCTGGGCATTGCACAGTTTCTTTGGTGGTGGCTGCAGTGTGTTGGAATTCGAAGCATTGGAATGGCTTCTGCCTTGATTCGGGATGCGGAGATTGCAGTTTGGTGGGACAGCCAGAGTCTTGGGTTTCAATGGGGGAAGCCAATCTTTGAAGCACTTCTCAACTAATTGTTGTTGTTAGTTACGACGCATCTGATCCATCGTGACCCCATGGACAACATTCCTCCAGGCCTTCCTGTCCTCCACCATCCCCCAGAGTCCAACGACTTCAGTGACTCCATCCAGCCACCTCATTCTCTGCCATCAACTGTTCCCAGCATTAGACTTTTCTCCAGTGAGTTCTTCCTTTTCATTAGGTGGCCAAAGTATTTGAGTTTCATCTTCAGTATCTGGCCTTCTAAAGAGCAGTCAGGGTTGATCTCCTCTAGGACTGACCGGTTTGATCGCCTTGCAGTCCAAGGGACTCTCAGGAATCTCGTCCAGCACCACAATTCAAAGGCCTCAATTCTTGGGCGCTCAGCCTTCCTTATGGTCCAACTTTCACAGCCATTCATTGCAACTGGGAAAACCATAACCTTGACTATATGCACTTTTCTCAGCAGGGTACTTTCACAGAATACTTACAAATGTTCATGCTGCCATCTACCAACTGGCATTCAAGGTGATGGTTCAAGATAAGTACCAACATCTGTCTGAATAAAAGAAAATGCCCAATGGGAGAAATGTAGGGTGTTACACAAAGGTGAGTGTTTTCTTTTCTTTGTAAGCCAAATTTGGAGATCTTTAGCAGAAAGAATAAATAAAAATAATAAACTGAAAAACTGAGCAGACAAACAGAAAAATAACCCAAGGATGGCAACGAATTAAGTCATACTATTGGAATGAACTACCAAATGCCTGAATAAACAGGTCTGATTTTGTCTGGTACCTAAGTAACAGGAGTGCTAGAGAAATGGTCCTTTGGGATATGGTGCAGAAACCAGGCAAAGCCTCCTCTGCAGTTGATCCTGCCTGACCTGGGGAAGGTCTCCATAGGAGGGCCTCCAGTGGTGATTTCAGAGCTGAACAGGTTCATATTTGAGTGTTTAGGCCTTTAAAATCAAAACTAGCATTCTGCGTCTGCCTTGAAGCCAGGTGGGAGCCAGTTCAGCCACCTGCGTGTCAGGGCACTTACAAGCTCCAGTTAACATTCTGCCTTCCACTTGGGCTGGGTTATTTAGTCATCTAGCCCAGTAGTGTCTTCTCCAGGGTCAGCCAATTTGTGGCCTTCCAGATATTTTGGCCCCCAGTTCCCATCTGCCTTAGCCAGCCCAGCCAATGGTGAGGGATGCTGGGAGCTTTAGGCCAGAGCAGTAGAGGGGCAGCCTAGCTCTCTGCTTGCCCGTCCTGGCTTCCCAAGGCCTTCAGCAATGGCACACCCGTGTCACATCACTAGCACCTGCTCTGAAAAACAAAACCCCGGGACACTGCAGATGACGCCGGGACCCTTGTGCATGGGACGCATGTGCCTACTGGGCCCTGTGTTCTTGAACCAGTTGGACCAGTCACTTCTGCAACCTCATCTGCAGTCCTGTGCCTGCTTATCTAACCTGCATTGAACTCAATGGGACTTGCTTCTGAACAGGCACGTACAGGATGGCATTGTTAACCAACCTCACAAGGAAGGTGTGAGAATCGAAGAAGAACAGAGTGGATGGGATGTGAATGCCACGATAGGAATTACTCATAATCTTAGTACTGAATTTCCTTTTCTCTCCTCCATCTACACCCCTGTCCATAGGTCTGTTCTCTTGGTGTTTTGAGCCAAAGCCTAGAGTGCAGCTGTTCAAACTGGCATGCTGCTTGAAAGGATTGTCCAGCGCATGTACAATTAGATATTGCAAATCATTTCAGCAGCTATTGCTTTTGACGTAATCCCTAATTTGGGATTAATAAAAGGCTGAGCATAGTGAGATCACCAGGCTTCTTTTTCATCTCATTTCGCCCTGTGGGACTCCATCTTAATGAGGAGAATGGCAGAGTCAATGCATTTTTTTAAAAAAAGCTAGTTTGTTTTGAGGGAAACTGTAAAACACTCACACACACACACACAGAGAGAGAGAGAGAGAGAGAAAGAGAGAGAGCTTTTGGAGAAAGAAAAGTAACCTGTGGCATATACCTGTATTTCTTAGTTTATAATTTTCCCTCATCCTTCTCAGCAGTTCAGGGCACCATTCACACGGCTGAAATGCACAAATTGGGGTTTGGGCCAGTGACTGCCTCTAGGATGTCCAGGATAGCCAATGGGGAGGGCTCACTGGAGTTTGCTTTTATTTCCACTAAAAAAACTCCAGGAGGTTGAAGCAAGATGCAGAACCCCATATTGAACTACAAAATAGCCAGCAATTTACAAAAGAAGAGGGAGCAGGTAGAAGTCGAGGCAATTAAGCAGCCTGCCGCTTCCTAGAGAAGAGGAGCCTCTGCAGAGTGGGAGGGGGCCGTCGGGGAGGCCTCCAGTGGCCCAGCCTGGTGCAGCAGGGGTGCTGGTGGGCAGCAGGCGCCTCACAAGTGCCCCGCAAGGTCATTTTTTCTGCACCCACATTGTAAACTGAGTGTGAGTTCCTCTGAGGGGCTGCACAAACTGGCTTTCCCGTGCTCCCCAGCAAGCTCAGTAGCCGTGACTGGCTTTGGAAAAGTCCTGGCTTTGCTACTACCGCGTATCGGTTCTCCTTAGTCCATGCTGGCCTAGTCAGGCTACCAGCAATGCTGAAGACGACGACCTTGAAGGCTCTTCATCCTCAGATGTCACAACTGCCATCCAATTCAGGAGGCTGAACTGCAGGAGAGGAAAGGGCCTGCTGACTGTCCACCTAATTTCCCCTCTTCCCTCCTCTCGCCTTTTTCCTTGCATGTCATGACCTTTCAGATTGTAAGCCTGTGGGCAGACACCATCTTATTTATTTATTTGATTTATATCCCGCCTTATTTCTTTTAAAGAACTCAAAAACCCTTTTAACATTCTTCTCCCTTGGCTCGCAATCTTATTCCCACATCAACCCTGTGAGGTAGGTTGGGCTGAGAGCTGTGCCTGGCCCAAAGCCAGCCAGTTCGCTGCATGGCTGAGTCAGGGCTAGAACTCCGATCGCCTGAGTCCTGGTCCCACGCTCTTAACCACGACACCGCACTGGCTCTTGTTTTATTGACCGCAAACAGATCACTTCAGGAGCCTTTTGGGCTGAGGAGCCTGAGAAGAATTCTTCAAATAAATCCTTTGTCCCTATCTAACTATCGTGTCCTATTAAGGGCTTGTCACACGGAGCAGTTCTCCCCGTTGCTAAGAGTGCTTGCAGGCAGGTTTGGCCTGCTGCATTGGCTGCAGCCTCATACACTGGACAGAAAACTGGCAAAGGGCGAATCATGATTCTGCTTCATTGCTGCAGGTTAACGAAGATCCTGTATTTTAAAATAAAGGTCCCTGGTTAAGTTGCAAAGCCTACATTTTCCCTTCGGCAAGTAACTGGAGGAGCAATATTAACATTTAGCCAGCAGGGGGTGCTATAACCAAATACTATAAAGGAAAGTCAATGTAAACTTTACAGTCCAATTATGTATTTAATAAGTTGTTTCCAAATGGAGAGCTTGTGTCAGTAATGTTCCAAAGACATTGCACAGCTGTTCCGCCTTTTCTCGCTTAATAGATTATTTTTCTTGTGAAAAAAAGAAACAGGCAGTGGGAAAACCAGGGCCACAAACAGATGATAACATCTACCCCTAGTCCAAAATTGTGTGAGTGAAGCAGGACAATTGCACAGTAACAGCCTCATCTAGAAGGCATGTCGTGTTCTCCACATTACTCTCTTTGCTGACTCATGACTTCAGTCCGTGGAGAAACAGTGTTTTTGTCTCAGCTGACAGCCCTGATGTGATTCCGATCAGAGCGATTCTGATACTGCTAGGAAATGGCAGTGTCCAGAACACATTTCGTTCCTTGCAGACATCTTGTGAGGGAGAGCGTATTGATGGATGCTACTGCAAAACTGTTGGGCGTAATACTCACACAAATAGTAAGTTGTGTATTTGTGAGGTATCTGGAGGGATCAACTCTTTCCTGTAAAAGCTGATGTGGTACAAAACATTTTGCCTAGTAAAAGCAACAGGGTTTTGTCAATTATGTTATACAGCAGCCTTCTTCAAGGTGTATTAGACCACAATTCCCAGCTTAATTGGGAGAAGGATTTTAGAAATCCGCTGCAGATTCAAATGAGTTTGGCTTTCTAAGAATCTAACCTGAGGATTCTGCAGAAAAGTGTTTTTTTCCAAGTTCCACAGACTCACAGACATGCATTTTGCCTTTTTGTTGGGGGTACTAGTGCAAATGCACACTTGTGCATGCAGTAATGCATACTTACACAAGTGTGTGTTAGCACAAGTTTGCCCTTGGGCAGATGTAACAAAATTCTTGTACTTCTTGGGGGAAAAAGTCCTTCAGTGAGTGGACAATGGACTGGAAAATGCCTGACAAGCTGTGAAACTTGACGGGATATATTTGACAAAAGCTGCACACCCCCAGCTGGGACTCATGGGAGTTGAAGTCCAAGGCATCCACAGAGCATCATTTGAGGAAGGCTATCCATCCTGAACAGTATCTGGTTGCCTGTTGTTTCTACCTTATTACTTTGTAATCTGTCTTTGGATCTGTGTTTTAAAGCACCCTTCCCTAACCTCTCACCTTGTGATGAGTGGTTGGAAACATGAAAGATGTTTGTCTGGACCTGGGCTGTCCGCTAGCCTCAGTTCTTTGACTCAGGTTGTCAAGGAGGAAAGGCTCTTCTACTCTCTATCCATGCTATCGAAAACACGATTAGAGCTGCATTCCTGGCCTCAGGGACCCTGGGGGATGCTGCTTTGCCAGGTGCCTGATGTCCAGCAGGTGCTCCGGAAGAATGATGTTTCCTGGGTCTCTTGGCACCTGGAATATTCCTGTAGTGAGAGTCTAAATGTAGGGGGAAGGTGGCAGAGTTAAGCAAGAAGCCTGCCCCCCACAAGAGGCAATGCTGACCCGCTTGAATTCTGTTTGCTGCGATTTTTAATGTTAAAAAAGGCATTTATTATGCATCTCCCAATGAGAGGTGGGCATGGCTGCCATCAAACTGAACAGAGATATTTCATAGATATGCTTGCTGTTTTTCTGATAGGGTTAATAAATGTTGCATTGCATGATATCCATACCCCACTTTTCTTCCTTTACAAGGGACCCAAAGTGGGCTGCCAGGTTCTCCTCCTCTTCATGTTATGTTTACAACAACAAGCCTGCGCAGTAGGCTAGGCTGAGAGGGAGCCACTCCTCTTCAACTGTTCTTGACAATTTCAGAGGAAGTGCTTGGAATATGAGGACGGGATGGATGCAGCTGGGGATGCTTTTGTATGTGGTGTCCTGGTTCTCTGACAGCCAGGCTGGGGGAAACCTGCACTTCACAGTGGAGGTTGTAGCGCAGTTAAGACATACAGAATTCACTGCATAGCCCTTCCATCTTGTGCCCCCCATTCAGGGGATTCTCTGTGGCAAGGGAAAAGGGGGAAAGCAGTGGGCAGAACACCACGGATGCTGCCTGTAAGGATGGGTGCCTTCCTAGGACGCCGTCCTGTAAGTCACGGCCTAAAATGAGAGGCGGCTGCTGGTGCTGCCGAGGCAAAACCAAGGTGAGCTGGGATGCATGGAACGTGTGCGCCTTGGAAGGAGCAGCCGACTCGCCGGCTGTAGAATACATGCACGCAGATGCCTGCTGTGTCTCTCGCGCACACACCCCCCCCCCCCCCCCCCCCCCCTTCCCCCCCAGGGGGGGGGGGCCCTTGGCCCTCCCCCCCCCCCCCCCCCCCCCCCCCGTGCCATAGCTTGCAGCAAGAGGGGGAGCGGCACTTGCGCTGTCCACCCCCGAGCTCAGTCCCTCGATGGGCACACGTGCGTGGCCGAAGAAGAGCCAGGTGGCCCTGGCCAGGCGCCCGCTCATGTGCCAGCCCACGCCTGCTGCCTGCAGCACGAGTGCTTCCTAAGGAAAAGTGGAAAGCCTCTTCCAGGAAGATGTGACTGGCAAACAGCAGGGCCAGGTATGCACGTAGGTTGGCCGCAGCTCCTGGATTTCCTGTTTCCAACCACCTAGAACATGGATAATTTCTCTCCTGTTGTCATCTATTTTCATTCTCTTCCTCCTGGGAAGTAGCCCTTTCCCTGGCATTTTTTTTTCCTAACTTCTACACACCTCCATGTGCTTCAGACAGTTCTGGGAGGGATCCAAGGGTTACTGCTTGAGCAAGCTGGGTGGGCACAAGCCCAGCTTGCTGGGCCCGTCTCTTCCTTCAGTAAAGAGAAAGCAAAGGCACCAGGCGGCACTCTGCGCGTACCTGCTCCATTCATGACAGGCGTGTGCGGAAGCCGGGACGTCGGGTGGGAGTTCAGAATAATCCTAAGGGATGCCTTTGGTGCAGCATGACCGATTATTTATGTGTGTATCCCTTCTTACCTTCCAAGGAACTCAAGGCAGCTTACATAAGTCTCCTCCTCTCAAACTTACCCCAGAACAACAGCCCTGTGGGGTAGGTTGGACTGAAAGTCTGTGACTGACCCAAAGTCACCCAGAACTCCATGGCTGAGTCCCAGATCAACGCTCTTAACCATTACACCACACTGGCTCTCAGACTTCCATGGGTCTATTGTCTGTTGGTTGTGCACTTGTGAGGCCCAAGTGAAATTACTGCATTGTATGATTACTGCATTAGATGGGGTTTGCAAAACATGCACGATGTCTTATATGCACTAGCAGCGATTTGCGGAAAGGCAAGGCCTGGCTCAGCCAGAGAGGAAACTGCTGCTCTGGGCTGTGTAGACATTAACACGGGCATTCAGAAGACACTTAATGCCCTGTCAGGACAGGTCCCTCCCTTGCCCCAACCCACCATTTCTTTTCCCTTGCTCTCC